CAGGATGGAAGCCCAAGCGCAGAGCAGCATGAATCAGTAAGTCCCACTCGACGCCGTCGTGGAACCCGTTGATTCCCAGCACGCCATGTCGAGTCGGCATCTTGAGACACTCTGCAACCTCGTCCTGCAACACGCAGTGGAAGGCCTCCACCAAAGAACTGTTACCTCTGGTGGCTGCGTCCCACTCGGTCCGCACGGCCGCACCATTCACGAACGTGTCGTTCTCGAATGTTTGGCCACGGCCAGCTTACCATAGAAATTCGAGCCAATGTTGCGATATGTGCTCAATTTGTTTGGTAACTATCTTGCCCATTATGAGCTGTGTCTGATGCGGCCAAGTGAGCGCAGTCTCGAACACGTTCAGCATCGCCGCCAGCTCGGCTGGGCCACCCTCCAGCAACATGTCGATTTCCGGCGGCGCAAGACGATCTGCTCCCAGTCCCGTCTTGCCGCGCATGCCGTGGGCGGCTCTCCTCACATCCGATTTGCCGTGATAGGTTCGAGCTGCTCGTCGCGCGCCGCCTCTTGGACCCCGAGGGTGGCTTCCTCGCGTCTAGCTCGACGGCATCTGTGCGAGTTCTTGCTGGAGAGTGGGGCGCCTGGGCTCGAGGAGCACTCAGACGCCCGATCCTGACCAGCTTGCTCGACACGAACCGAACCGAACAGCGGATCGGTGGGGCTCGAGAAGCACCCCGCCGTCCTATCTTGACCAGTTTGCGCGACACTAATCGAACCGAACTGCGGACCGATAGAGCTCGAGGGGCACTCTGCCGCCCCACCCTGACCAGCGCACGCGACACTTAAGCAAACCGAGCAGTGAATCACAAGAGCTCCAGGAGCACTCTGATGTCCGATCCTGACCACGGCGTCCGACTGATGTGCCCAGCAGCTCCCATAATTGGCCCTTCCTGTCAAGAATATGTTTGGGATGGACTCGAACTGTTGAACCAATGCAGATCCCTTGTGCAGGAAGCGCTTCCTCTCTCATATTGCTGTGCAGTGTGCCAATTGTTTCATTTTGAACTCAGCTAGGGGTTCCCGCACAGCTCGCCGTTGAGCTCGAAGGGGAAGTCTGAAGGCCTCATCATGGAAACCCTGCACACACCCCGCCATTTGCATGTTGGGCGAAACTGGTAGCTGACCCACTTGTCGCCGGCCGCTGTCGCGCCCGGTGCGCCTCGCACACTGGCCAAGAACAGACGACACCTTCTTCCACCAGCAGGCGACTTGATCGCGCAACGGAGCTGCGCGCCGCCGTGCACTCTCAAGTCGGGCCTGTCCCTCTACAGGAGGAAAATTCAAAATCGTAAAAAATAGTCTGGGGACGATTGTTTTAGCATTTTCTGGCGCGCGTTGAATACGCGTGGGGCACGTTTTATTTTTCGCCCAGAATCCGCCTGTAGGAGGACGCGGCCGACCTAAGCGTCCTCTGGCGAACACCTTCCTCCACGACCAAACACCCCGCGGCTCTGCTCGGCCCGCCAGGTGGAGAGGCCTGATGACGCGCACGAGTCGCGCCCTCAGCAGCGCTGACCCACTGGGCGCAACATGAGCTCACCGACTGGGCGCGACAAGGATCGAGCCAAAAGGCTACGGAGGCGCTGAAGTGCGGAAGGGGGGGGGGGGGGGGCTGCACCTGATGGCGGTTGGGCCGATGCTGCCACGACAACTCTTCTGGAATCAAGAGATTGGGCTCGACCTTATCTGTAGGCATTTCGGAGGGGCGAGGCTTAACCTGGCTCGATGCATGACTTGAGGTTGGGGAGGGGGTCATCACGGAAGCCGAATTATGTGCTGAAGCAAGGACGTCTTATCTCGCGCTCTGGCTCTGAGCATCGCAACGCTCAAGACGACGACTGCTGCGCTCACGCAAAGTTGGCCTCCGGGGCCCCTGATCCTCCGCTCAGAACCCCCCCCCAGGAGCGCCCGTTCCGACCTCCGAGGAGGTAGAGCCAAAAACGCCAGGTCCAGTGCGGGACTCGAGGTGGCCCCCAATTAGTTCCAGTATTGATCGTTCGTTTTGTTGCACCCGACGCTCTAGCAACGGCTCTATCCTGCTTGGCCCCGGAGGCTTTAGACCTTGGCGCCGCCTGGCCCGCAGGCCTAGATACCTGCGGGAGACGACTTGCGCATTCGAGCCGCTTGGTCAGAGCTTGCGCACCCGAGTTCTTGATGGCGAGAGAGAGGCCGATGCGCGGCCTCCAGGGGGCGTCCAGCCAGGCGTCTAGTTTGACGATGCACGGCAGCGCTGCTTCAGAGATTGCCCCCCGTCGCGCCAGCGTCGCACGCGCACTCCACTGGCGGTGGAAGACTCGACCAGCAACGAAACGGGCAAAACCAGACTTGGACAACACGTTCGGCCCCATGTTCCCGTCGCCCAGGCAGATCCAGGGCAATTCGAGCGAGTTCAGAAGGTCTCCCAGTCTGTGAAGCCTGCTGATGTTCCTCCCGCCCGTTCCAGCGGAAGTAAGATAGCAGCGAATGACGAGCGCCACCTCGAGCCCTCCCACGCGCAAGAGTGTCGGCCGTGGAACGGTCCAGCGCGTCGCACCCGGCGGCCTCGAGGGGCCCTGAAAGTCTGGCCTCCGCAAGCGCCCCCACGTGGAGAGAGCGTCGCCCGGGGGGGGGGCTCGCTTTAGCTCCTCTGAGCATCGGCCCCAGGCGTTGCTCGGGGGGGGATCTGCCGCGGTCGATCGCCCCGGGGGGGTTCGACTGCCGCCCCTAATTACGCGCATCGCCCCCGCCAAAGTCCCCCCGAGAGGGGAGCTTAGGCGGGCTGGAGGTGGCCCGCAGCAAGAAGCCACCCCCCTCCTTTGCTGGAACGCTCCGCGGCTGGCAATCCATCGCACTTTCCTCCACCTCGCCTTGGCATCCCACGCGCGCAACTGATGATGAGGAACACGAGTCTCAGCACATCCCAAATACCGATGCGAGACTGATGCGTTCCAAAAATGCGACAGGCACGATCACCCATGAGCGCGACGTTCGCGAAAACAAAGACGCGAGACGGAGTCACTCGTCCCATCTGGATCCATTGAAGGCAACATTCGTGCTTCGGCGCGCGGCTCGTGATGGCGACGCCGATCACCGAGCTCGGCCCCAGGCGCTGACCTTCTGGACGCATGCGATGAGGCTGCGCCCGTTGCCGGAGGCCCCGACGCCGGCGCAGCTGCCGGACCCCTGCCCCTCGCCCGAGGCCGCCCGCGGCCGCCAGCCGCTGCTCGGCCCTCTCCGCCGCCGCGGGCCTGGCCGCCGAGATCCTGGCCGCCGAGATCCATGCGACTGCCTTCAAGTCGGGCGTGTCCCCCTACAGGGGGATTTTCGACGAAAAATAAAACATACCCCCAAGATTGTCAAAAAATAGTCCAAAAATAGTCTGGGAACTTTTTTTTGAGTATTGCTTGGCCTTTTTGGGGCACTTTGGGGGTATTTTTTATTTTTCGTCGAAAATCCCCCTGTAGGGGGACAGGCCCGACTTGAGACTGCCTGCGCCGCGGCCGCCGCCGCCCGCGCCGGAGCCGGCGACGCTGCCGTCTCCCGGGCGCACTGCCTTTTTTTGGCGCCAGCACGGCCGGTCGGCGCGCGCAGCCCCGGGCGGCAGCCGCTGCAGCGCCGCCCTCCTCGGTCGACGCGCCTCTCCTTGGCAGCGAGTCGTGAGTCGATGTCCTGCTTGACGTTCACGGCCTTGTCCGTCCGCGCCTTACCTCCGCGTTCTCGGACTGGAAGGACCCCTGGATGTTGGGAAGATCGTCCTGGATCTGGCGAAGCTTCTTCTTCTTCTCCGCCGCCTCCTCGCACTCCAAGTTACCAATGTCATTGAAGATTCTGAAGTCCCAGATAACCGAGAATACATCGTCCGATGGGGGCGACGCACCTTGAGTCACGACTCCTCCTGCTCTGGCAAGCGCCTCCGCAGCCCTCGTCGTTGCCGAACTGGCCGAGGCTAAGGACTCTGCCGACGTCTTCTTCTTGGCCGTCGCCGTGTCCAAGTCTAAGTGCAGCCATCGAACGTTGGCCACCGAATGGTCATGCTTGCGATTGCCGTCCCCCTACTGGCTGTCCGCCTTCTGGTAGCTGGTCGCGGCACTGGGAGATCCAGGGCCTGACTTGGATTGCTTCTGGAGGGCCTCGGTCTTCTCTTTTGAGCAAGTTATTGAATTCGGGATCGCTCGTGCCCTTCATGGCCTCGATAAGATGGTCGGCGACCGAGGAGGGCGCTGACCGTTGTGCGTCAACCGCAGCCACTGCAGCGCCAGCAACGCGCCGAGGGACCCTTTCATCCTGAGAGACCTCCCAGACCTCCAGCTCCTCGGGGAACGAAACACGATGTGGGGAAGCCGGCCTTGACGTCGACCTCTTGGGCGTGAACACGTTGACCTTGCGCTGGCACCTCCCGCAGTGGAAGTCATGTTTCTTGAGCTGGCCATTCCATCCACTCGGACCTCCCGCACTGGCAACGACTCCACAGGGGGGCGTTCCTTTCGAAGAATCTGGACATGAAGAGTGACTTCTTGTTTTGGTCACAGATGACTGGCGCCTTCAAGGAAGGAGGGGGACCCTGCTCCGTGTGCCTCAAGCGCCTCGCGCAGGCACAAGAGTCGGCCCCTGCAAAATCCCTGTGGCTTGATGGGCGAAGGGGGGAGGGCAGGATGAGGAGCACGGGCATGAGCAGGAGCAGGGGCAGGAGCAGGAGGAGGAGGATGAGGAACATGATCAGGAGCAGGAGCAGGAGGAGGAGGTGAAGCAGGAGCAGGAGCAGGAGCATGAGCAGGAGGAGGAGCAAGAGGAGGAGGAGGGGGAGGAGGAGGAGGAAGAGGAGGAGGAGGAGGAGGAGGAGGAGGAGGTAGAGGAGGAGCAGGAGGAGCACGAGGAGGAGCAGGAGGAGGAGGAGCAGGAGGAGCAGAGGGAGGCCGGAGTGTGCGCAGATGTGGGGTCGCGGTGTCCCCCCGTGCGGGGGTCTGCCCCCGCGCGCCCGCTCGGCCGGCCGCTGCCCGCCCGAGGTGGAGCTCCCGAACGGCACGGAGCCGCCCCCGGGCGCGTGCTGCCTCCTGGTGTTCGCGGTCGGCGAGGTGGGCGTCTCGGCGGGCTCCCCTCTGCTCGCGCGGGAGCGGAAAGGAGGAGGAGGAAATGGAGGAGGAAATGAAGAGGAGGAGGAGGAGGAGGAGGAGGAGGAGGAGGAGGAGGAGGAGTGAGGAGAGGAGAGGAGAGGAGAGGAGAGGAGAGGAGAGGAGAGGAGAGGAGAGGAGAGGAGATGAGGAGGAGGAGGAGGAGGAGCAGGAGCAGGAGGAGGAGGAGGAACAATGTAAACCCAAGAGCCATCAATGGTGTTGGAATACACCCTCCCTCCAAGCTCCCTCTTCACAGGCCCCTACAACGGTTCATTTCCATTGAGGGATCTGCCTCGTTGGAAGACAACCATTCGAAGATCCAGAAGCATGCCAAAACATTGTTTTCGGGATTCCAACGCCACGGATCAATCTGACTGTCGCGTCTTGACGATCTTGGATCGTGCCAGAGCGCCGTTCTCGGGACCTCAACACCGCGAACCAACGTATCTGTTGCACCCATAAAATCTTGAATCCTTCTAAGACACCATTTCTGGTACGTTGATCGTGGGAACCCTTGAAACTCTTGCAAATGTTTAAAACGACTATGCGTGGCGCTAGGGCGAGAGCCACATTTTGAAAAGGAACCGCCCTCAATCCGTGAAACTCTTGCAAATGTTTTAAACGAATGCGCGCGGTGCTAAGGCGAGAGCCACATTTTGAAAAGGAACCGCCCTTAATCCGTGAAACTCTTGCACATGCTTAAAACGAATGTGAGCGGCGCTGAGGCGAGAGCCGCATTTTGAAAACGGGTTATCCTCAATCCGTGAAGCTCTTGCAATTTGTTAGAACGAATGCGCGCGGTGCTAAGGCGAGAGCCACAGTTTGAAAACCACCCGCCCTCCATCTGTGAAACTGCTGCCAACTGGTAAGCTTCAGAGTCATTAGTGGTGAGGAAGTCTCAGGCGAAACGCTCGGCCCGCAATGGTTGAGGAGGAGGAGGAGAAGGAGGAGGAGGAGGAGGCGGCCCAGGCGTGCTCGCGTCGCGAGAACAAAAACAAACAAACAAAAAAATCGGAAGGTGTTTGGCCGTCTTCGGCCTCTGGAGGCCCTCCCTTTGCCGGTCTTGGGGCGCCTTGGGGGCCTCTTGGCAGTCCGGGGGCCTCTTGGAGCGTCTTGGGTGCCTCAGGGAGCCTCTTTGGGCCTCTTGGCGGCCTCCTGGGGGCCTCTTGGGGCATCCTGGGCGCTTCTTGGGGCCCTTTTGGGGCTGGCTCTCTTGGGAGCCCTGAAGGGCCTCTTGGGACTGTCGTGCTGGGTGTCGGTGAACAGAGGAGGGGTATCAGACCGTTTAGTCCCCCATCTGGGGCCATCAAAATGGCGTCTTGGGACGCTCTTGGGCTTCTCTAGAGGCGATATTGGGCGGTCTTTGGGCCGTCTGGGGGGTATCTTGGGCCCTTCTTGGAACTCTCTTCGGCCATCTTGTTGCCACCTTGACGCCTCAAAAGCACATCGGATGCGAAAAGGGGAGAAAGCACAAATCACTGATTTGCCTGGATTTGGGCTTCCCCTGGAGGTCCTGAGGGGTGTCTAAAAGCACCTGGAACCATCTTGTCGCCCTCTTGAGGCATCTTGGAGACATGTTGCTAGCTGTCTTGAGCCATGTAGGGCTATCTTGAGCGATCTTGAAGGCCATCTTGGGCTCTTGAAGACCCTCTTGGAGCCATCTAAGGCTATCATGGACGCTCTGACACCTCGCGATACCCCCAGTCCAGGTCCAGAGGAGGAAGTAGGGGGAAGGGTTAAGTCCTCCCCGAAAGAGGAAGAATGGTTTTTGGAAGAGGAAAGAAAGACATCGTTAGACCACCTGCCCCCACAGGGCTGGTGGGTTTATGTAGTTGCGATTGCACACGCGATGGCGCAAAGTTGTGAGAAGCAAAGATTGACTTGGCAAGACGGGAACCATTGAAAGCGTGCGGGGTGTTTGGGGGGCACCTTGGGCTTTCTTGGGACCTCTTGGAGGCATGCTGGAGGCCATCTGGGCCAACATGCACCATCTCGCGCAATCTTGGAAGCGCTCAGCGGATGTCCATCGAGCAGACTGGAGCCACGTCTAGATTGGAGCCATGCCGATGCGGGGCCATCTTGGGCGCACGAACGCCTCCGACCTCTCCCCTCCAGACCCCATCGGAGAGAGCCAGGGGAGTGGAAACAAATTCCCCGAATCGAAGGAAGATGTTATTCTGGACCAGCTGATCAGCTAAGTAGCCTGAGCCCAGAGGGTTGGTGGGATCACTTCCAAGTAGTCGTGAATATTACGGTCGCTGTTACAAACTAGGGTGCAAAGTCAGTCTCAAAGCAAGTGCAGCAGAAGTCGGGGCAGTGATCCTCTGCGCCAGGGACAGCGACGGCTCCCCCGAAAGACACAAGTGTCTCTCCAAGTTGTTATACAGTCATAGACGGTCCGATGCGATGATGCATGCAAGAGTAGCGGCGAGAGAGAGAGAGAGAGAGAAAGAGCGAGTTTGTGGTTTGCAGATCTCTTCCTACACCCCCTGTCGTCAGCACCAGCTTCCGGGGTAAACCCGTCTTGCCGCCCCCTTCTCCTGTTGTTCTGTGGAGGTTGGCCGCTCGCTCGTGCTCGCCGCGCACGTGCAGGACAGGGTGAAGGCCCCGCCGGCGCGGGGCCTGCGCTTCCAGGATCCCGGGGGGGGAAGGGGGGACGGTCCGATCAACGGCACCGTAACGGGTACTTACTAACGGGTACTTTGATTTTTTGCCGAAAGTTGCCACTTTAGGGCCTTTTTCTTGCATTGCAGCTTTGCCCACATCGGGAAGGGTTGGGTTCGCTGGGCCACTGGCCAAAGTACCCGTTAGTGGAGTCCCCGTTTGAGGGGCGTTGAGTCCGAAGGGACCCCGCGAGGGAGCGCAGATCGGCGGTCCAAAGATGAGGTCCTGAGGGAGGGGGGCCCAAGGATGGGAAGGGATCCAAGGGCGGATCTGTGCAACCTGGGGCACCTTTTGCCCTCAGGACCCCCTCCCTCGGGACCCCCTCTCTGAGCCACCGAGCAGAGACGGAGAGCGGGGAGGAGGTCGCCGGCTGGGCGGGCCCCCGCGCGCGTGCCGGACGGGGGGCAGGTGCCCGGCGGCTCGAGGCGTGCGCTTCAGGGCCGAGGGGAGAGGGGGGGGGAGGGGCGGGGTGCGCAGAGAGGGCCGAGGAGGAGGGGAGAGGGGGAGAGGAGAGGGGGAGAGGAGGGCAGAGAAGGGGAGAGGGCCGAGGAGGAGGGGAGGGGGGCGGGGTCCGCAGAGGCGCTGCGAAGGGGCAGAGAGAAGGAGTGATCGGGCCGAACGAATCCAGCAGTGACGAAGCGTCCTGGCTCGCTTTTTTTTTTCTGTTTCCAGCCATTGGCTCTACCTGTACTTAATTATCTGCTGTAGCTCTGTCGGTCTCTCTTGACCGCACAGCTGGTACTTCACCTTTCTGAAGCCTGCGCAGGGCCCGTTTCCCGTGTGCTGTCGGTCGGCCCTGGCAGGGAAGGATGAGGTTCCTGGCCCCTTTCTGGGCATAGAAACCGCACTTCAAACAAATCAAAGTCCCATACAGCTGGTGGACTCCGATTGCATGTGAAACATGCAGGTCGCGGCCATTGAAGACCTGCCTCCCTGCAGGCGAGAGCACCACGTCTCTCATCAAACTCTTCACACAGGGAGTGTCAAGGAACCTATTCAACTCTCTCCTCGGCGCGGAACCTCCACACTCCCTGCAACGAACCCTGGAGCCTAAAATATGTGCACCATTGTGCTCTGTGATCTTGATACAGTGCGCTTCTCTCTTTCTTCTTTCCGACAAGGCCCTACTACTCGGCTGGTGTCTGGACACTGTCTCTATGATATTCTCTAGGACCTTGGCCAAATGTTTCCTGACAGAAAAACCTACAGCTGTTGCCATTTCCACCCTGCATCTGTCAGCAAAAGAGACTCTGAACTCCTCTGCTAGCCTGCTAGCTGCGGTGTCCGCGACAGCGTTTACAAAGAGGGTGGCTGGATCGACTCCCTGCTCGATCGCCTCTTCTGCATTAAGGTGGCTCTCCACCTTCAACACACGTAATCCCTTGCATGGGTGCCTAGCTAGTGTCTCTCCAAGACGACGCCATACATCCACATGCGTGTCAGGAAACTTGCCTACTTTTAGCTTCTCAACTCCTCGCATCACATACTCAGAGTCTGTAACATAAATTGCGTGCGCCAGCGGGAGGACTGCTGCCGCAAACTCTAGCAACGCCGTGGTTTCGCCACGGTTGACTGTTTGAAAAAAGCCTGGCAGATTCCCTCCCTGCAAGTGCCCCAACCTCAGCTCACCCACATCGTAACTCCCGTCCTCACGGAATCCACCTAGGGTAGCAAAAGCCCAGGCTACTCGGCGCAGCTTGGGATCCTGGTTTTTTCCCCCGCTGGCGTCTCCCCCTCCAAAAATTACGCCTGGATCTCCGAAAACCTGGTGGCTCGACCTACCAAAAACGTAGCTGATGTCTTCGTCCGTCGGATCTGGGACGCTAGTCCACGTCGATGGCACCGTACCTCGGATCCACATGCTGGGCATACTATCCGACTCTAATCGCGCTTTGGCAATAATGCCGCTGGAAATCGTCTGAAACTCCTGATTTGCTGGGCATTCCCAGCAGCGATGCTTGTCTGTTTCTGGAGCCTGTCCGCAGCGTGGGCACACGGGGTCAGGCTCCAGGCCGTACTCAAAAAGTCTCTGCCTACACCACGTCGCCCCTGTCATTACGCACTGCTAAAGGCCCTTCCACTTAAAATCACTACGCTTTAAAGCTATGCGGCACTGTCGACGGGGCCCCTTCAAGTCTGGCACAAGTTGCAGCCCCTCTCCCATACAGGAGTTCTTGGCCGCCTTAGCCCAGAGCCTCCTACCCACACTGTCCGCTATGCACGCAAAAAGAATGTGTGACTTGTCGAGAGGGCCTCTCCCGATCATCTCCTCAGGGGCCTCGAAGGTTTCTCCGATGTCACTGTGCCACCTCCAAGGCCCCTCAGGATTCCAACCTAGGTCGAGCATGGTGCAGATCGTGGCTGCCATGGGTGAACATATCCGCCTCCAGCGCTGCCTGGGGGCCTTGCTACTTAAATTGGCTAGTACTATTGCCCAGCCTCTCCGCACGCGATCTACACTAACCCTGACATCGCCTGGGATAGAGAACCACATTTTGACTACATCAAAAACTGCTGTGTGTGCTGGGTCTTGCGTACCGTATTCTAACGCTAGGAGGGTCGTCAAGCAACGGCCGTGTTTTTTCCTGCTCGACAGGTCGGCCATCGCTCGCCTCCAGCGCTGCACTATGCTTGGAGCTGTCCCGTATACCTGATCCGAGTAACGCGACTGAGCGAAAGCCGAAACCGAAATCATTCTCTTGGACAGCTCCTTGTGCTTCCGTGCTCCTTTTGCAAACCTCGAGAGTTTGCGAATCTTGAAACTTGCCGCTGCTCGTCTGGCTGCCTGCTTGGGTCTACGTTTTGCGACCCTGCCACGGTCAAGTGCTAGATCAGGCGCATTCGGCTTCACTTGGATACTGATGCTTGCTGCAGCAAATCTCTGGGCCAGTTCCCTAGCCACCTGGGGACAAGATGAGATGACGCACGATTTATCTGCCGTCGCCAGACTGACTGCCTGCAGACCTTTTACGAGCTGCTGACCTGCCTTGAAAAGTACATCTACAAGCCTCTGCCTCGGTGCCTCGCAACGTTGGACTATGTCGTCTACCCAGGTGTGGAGGCTCGGCGTTGGAGGGGGGCATCTGGCCACTTCCTCGCAAATCAAACAGAGTGCACACCTGCCTAGGTCCACCGCTCCTGTCGAGCCTGGGATTAGCGACAAACTGGGTTGAATCGCTTCTGAAAAAAAAAATCCTTCTTCCCTCAAAAATCTGGGCGACATGTGCATCTGGAGTTCGAGCGCTAGGTAAATTGCTGGAAAACCTAAAGCGAGCGCCTTGGAGAGCACAAGCTCCCATGATAAGGAATCGTAGAAACCTTGTACGTCCCACATGAGGCTTGCGCGCACTAAATCTGGTAAGACTGACTGTTCAGCCAGCTCGTCTTGAAAAGCTCTCCACACAGCTACTCTGAGCGCCGATGACCCAGCCACAGCTGTGTCCCAATGTCCAGCACGCTCTTTGCACCACTCCGCCCTTTCAAAATGCCTGAGTCTGCCCCACAAGCGCGGGATCCACGGCAGCAAGCCTATTGCCCTGTCGGCCTCTCGCGTCTTGACCTGCAACATGACTAGGACCGACATGAACTGCCATGGCCAGCATGCTCTCGCTTCAATGGCGGTGTAAAGATCCGTTAACTGCTGAATTGCCGCTGGCGGGAGCAACATCTTTTTTTTTTATTACACTGGTCAACTCCGTTGGCTCGACTTGGCACTTTGGCGATAACTTTCTGGACGTGCTCTGGTTCGAGTGGCGGGAGCGGGTTCCGGGTTGCCTCTGCCTCTGAGGTGCATTTACGCCCAGCCCCCCACTTGGCGCCCCACACCCCTTCCTTGAGTCTTATTCGGTTTATGGCGTCTGGCGCTGAGGTGGCTCCCGAACGAACCTCTCCTACAAAAACCTTCTTTGGCTTGATCATACTGTACAGTCCCTTGCCTCCAGCAAGAGCCTGTTTCAGTACCCATTATTTAAAACTCTGCTGGTTCATATACTGCAGCGCTCTGTGTGCACGTGTTGCGTTATGCCTTGCCTTAAAACTGAAATCAACTATCTCTCCATCTGAGGCCTTGTCCAAGTGCCCCAGCCCTTCCTTCCAGATACCCCAGAGGCGAGTCGAGAGAGGCATGAGGGACGAGGTAGGAAGTTGGCTGGCTAGCTCTCGGACTCTGGCCAGAAGAGATTCAAACCGAGGACCTTTTTTCGGTAGGCAACAGACTATTTCTTCCAAGATGAACGCTACTGTGGCCCACCAATGGGCGACAGGATCAGATGCTGAGATGAACGTTGCTCCTTGCGCCTCTGGTATGAAAACTAGTGTTCGCGCCCTGCCCCGCCCACGGTAGTCGTTCCGCTTGCGCGGTGGCACGGCGTGCGTGAGAATGAAAAACTCCTCCATGCGTGAGACCCATCTGGCGTACTCCTCACCTATCGTGAGGGAAGCCTTAGGATCCAACTGGAAAGCTAACGACTGCTCGATGTACTCTGGAGGCTGAAGATTATTCGTGGCTTGGGGACCGATCTGCCTGCCGTGCCAGAGTTGATCTAACTGGGCTGCCGACAGTTGGTGGAGCAGGTGGTCGAACCCTGTTGCCTCTGGCTGATCAGGGCTCCCCTGGGACTCTAAAGCGCCCTCCTCTCCTCCACCTCCGTCCGAACCTCCGAAATCCTCCTCCTCCAGATCGTCTGGGCACAGATATTCGAGCGTCGGCGGGCTCTTGAAGGAAATATGTTTCCTAGGCTGTCTCTGCTGCGCTGGCGCTGGGGTCTCGTGACTCCCTTCGCTCTTCTTCTGTGATGCCGTTGCTGCTGCCGCTCGCCTCGATCGCTTGCTGTCTGGATTCCTAGCCCGCTTCATTGGCGGTGGTTGTTGGAAAGGTCTAGGCAAGCTCAAAACTCTGCGCAGTGCCTCTGTCATGCTTAATCTCAGGCGGACTATTAG